CGCGCGGTTCATTTATTGTTGTGGTCGTCATTTCCAAGTTCTTTGTCAATTATTTTCACCACCACAAATTCCAAAGACCGTCCAACTATCGATGGGAAAATTCAGCCAAATGAAGGGCTAACCTTTAAGCCGAACTTTGATGACTTGAACTCCAATATCGAATGCGTCAATGCCTTCGCTGTGAGTTCGGCCGAGGTTACAAATTCCACTCCCTACTGGGCTCAGTAGCTGAGCTCAGTGGAGACAAACTTTAACTGTCCTGCCCCTCCCTCCAATCATTTTTTTTTTGGAATCTGCAAAAATCTAGCAGACACGTGACCAGCCGCAACCAGGGTACTTTCTCGAGGAAGGAAGAGAGAGGACCCTGGGAACGAGGTTGAAACCAACTTTGAGAAATTGAACATTACGTCATGATGAACAAATTTACGTCATCAGCAAAAGCAATGTTCATTGCTAAACACGGATATTGACACGTAACATTTCATGTTGAATTATCAACTTGAAAGTTGAATTCTCAAGTTGAATTTTGGCGGGATTGGTGCGTCTTTGGTGACTCAACATTCGACTTGGAGATTCAAACTTCATCTTTCGCTGACAGCCCATGTGTCAAGATCATTGTTGACATGTTAACATGAATGTTGATGGATAAAGTTGAACGTTGAACTGTCACTTTAAAAGTTGATGTTTAAAGTTTCAATGATTGTGATACAAAGGACAAAGTTGAAGAGTGAAATATGATGTTGATGTTTGCCAAGTGTTAGACTTTCAAGTTGAATGTTGTGATCAACTTTGATTTTTGGCTGGGATGGAACTCCATATACCCCTTCCCTGTCTCAATCATAAATCGACAATCGAGATGCGAAAAAGCCCCTCAAAGCCGTTTAAAAGTTACGTTTTCAGAATCAGAAATGCTTGAACATCCTGGCACCCTCAATAAGCTCACCATCACTGACTTCTGCAACTATTTTATGCATAATCCCTCCGGCTTGAGGACTGCAGAGTATATCACCAACTTGGACATCTAGGACTTTCGGTGCAACAAATACAAGTGAAATTTCCTTTTGTTGGGCCATAATCACCGGACAGGCGTAAATAACTGTGGTATTTGGCTCTACAAACTTCACATTTTCGGCGAGTTCCACATTCTCACTTCTCTGTGAGTCAGCGTAGTCCACACTAACTTGGCCACCAGGACAGCGAGTCTCGTTCCAGCTTCTACATTCACCTTCTTCCTGTTAATTCAATGTTAATTTGATGTCAGTTACTTGTAACTTACATTGAAAGATTTAGCCATCGTAGCCGGGAGTACCTATCGGATAAAAAGATTTTCCTAGATCGATCAACAGGTTTCGCGTCATCTTGGATTTTTCTGGGTCTTTCATTTACAATTGATTCATGTTTTAACATGCAGCCGATCTCGAAATATGAACCGAAGTTCGAAAAGAAAGGGAATTGCTCGAAGCGCAGCCGAGAGGAAATCTAGCTTCTCGTGCGCTCTCCAAAGCTTCATAAGTTCGTCGTAACTCGATGATGCACGGCTAAGGCCTTAATCAATTACTTAAAACATTCCCAATGATAATTAATTTATCTCGCGCGCGTAGGAAGGCTCTCTTCCCAAGCCATGTGCTTGCATCATTAGATTATGATTCATGCATACGTACACCAAGTTTGATAGTGCGGCTTTGCAACGCTATCTTATAAAATACAATCGAATACAGTATAATAGAATACAATCACATTGCATAACATAACATTTCTTACTGTGATTTTGTAACATTTCTCGAGGTCCTGGCATTTTTGACATGATTGAATAGTCCCTCTTCCATTCTTGAAATTGCACTGCTTACCTCCACAGTCCACAGTCTAAAATAAATGAAGAAAATATTCAATAGTGCGTGATATAAAATTGGTGTAGGTGACGCGAGTGATAGAATATATTATTTAATTCCTTGATGATACCGTAGAACGGCGAAAACTTGGAATTAAAATACAGTACAGTAGCTAAAGGTCTGAAATGAATCAATATATTTACCTAGTTACTATTTAAAATCTTTGCTTAACTTTTTGGCACCGACGTTTTCTTAGAGTGATCTGCTCACCGAAAGAATGACTCTAATCCCCACCTCATGTGATTTGATTTCACAAAGTTAAGCCATTACTATTTAACGGCATATTTTATTAAGAAATGCATTTAAAGATATAGCTCAGTAAGGGTGCACTTAGCAAACTTGACGCTTTCTCGCCATTTTGAATTTACAACTCATATTGTTCAAACATTTTGCCTCCTCATTTTCAATATTTGCCCCTTGGTTCTTAAAGGACATAATATTTCTATGACAAGCCACTCTTAAAGGCGCTTTATGCCCCACACCAATTTTTGAAACATTGACAGGGTTTGACGGGACGTGGCGAGTACTTTTTAGAAGTATAGTTGTCCCACCACGAACAGACTTTGAAGGCAAGGCAATCAAAGGCAGCCACCGCTTTATTGGACTTATGTCACTTTCGCTCGGCTTCCTATTCAATCTTTACTAACAATACATCTTATGCCCGTCTATGTCTTGCATGAAAGCTAAGGGCGTAAAAGCAAACGCGATCCAATAAGTTTCCAACCCCAGTAACTGAGTTTCCAAGATGAAGGACCGCCAGATTCTTTCAGGACTCTTTCAGAACATTAATTATTACGAACGTTTTTTAATGTTCCTAACCCATAACCCTTACTATAATTACGTATACACAAACAACACAACCAGAACATTTGTGGGGAAAAGGGGTAAGGGATGAAGCACTCCAATGAAGAATTCTAGGTCACTTTCTCCTAGGGGTGTAAGGATCGCCCTGGGAGTGATAATCCCCCAGGGTACTCAGTACGAGGTGGTAATCCTCAAGAGGGGGTGATAATCCCACAAGGGTACTGAGTGAGAGGTGATCATGCTCTCAAGGGGGTGATAATCCCCCTGCAGGATACTCAGCGAGAGGTGATAATCCTCTTTAGGGGGTAATAATCCCCTAGGGTATGGAGAGTTGATAATCCTCTCTAGGGGTCGAATTCCCCGGGTTAAGGAATAATAAGAGTCTATGGGGTAAAGGGTGACCTCTATGGGAGCACTTCATCCCGAAACCCATCTTTATTAAACACCAATAAAGCTCAATACTTTTAAACTGAAATTATCACTGTAATGAGGGTAATAACCTCACAGTTATTAATTATTTACAAAACCTCTGCAAACCTGCTACCTGGTTTATTATTATTGTATAATTTCATTGTCAAACTTTACAAAGTCATTATTTGGAGTTACTGTTTAAACCTTAGTTCTCACTGCAATACCTTTGTAATCTGATACATGTGCCAGAGCTACTTGTATTTCAAGGAACACATATCTACTTGTCTCATTCCATAGAGAGAAGGATAAACCAGGGAAGGGTGGGAGAGAAATTTTGGTTCTGCGAATGAGAAAGTGTAAGAATTGTGTTGTGCACGGCTGAGCATGTGATTATACAGTGCAAGATTTCACGTGCATGGTAGATGCTGATTGGCTGAGCGGGATCATCCGACATGAGTAACT